TCGTCGCTTTCATTAAAAGCATTTATACACATTTAATAAAAAGTTTAGGTCAAGAGAATTGTTGAACTCAGAACAGATGGCCAAAGAAATAATGACATCAGCCTGCTGTTGTGAAGAACTAAAGTTAGTCCAAATCAGCTCCAAAATTTTTATGGACAATTTAACCTAAATATTTTTTATTCATCTCTCACTAGCCACTCCATTGTAAGCCTCGTCAAAGTCATGAGGGATATGAAAAAAACCCTCTGTGTTTATAAGATAAACAGTTTTATAAAAATTTTCTAATTGTTCCTGTTCTATTAAACAGTTTTCTCTTCAACTGAAAACGAATAAAAAGATATTAAATAACAAATTTAACAATTTAATTTGGTCTTACATATGTTTATTTTGGATCCTACAATAAATTTTAATAAAAACTTGATATTTCTTATAGTTTATTTAAAGTAACCCATTATAAATAAAAGAAAAATTTTTAAATAATTTAAGTACAATTTTTTAAAAATTACTTCTAAGTCAGACAAAAATTTTAATGTGATAATCATTAAGTACATTCATCATTTAATGCATTTGTTGTGATAAATTCCAGTGGAGAAGTTTAACAAGTTAAAATTTTTTAAATGTGGTCTAGATTAAGAAAAAGTGAAGGACAAAAATTTGTTAATGATAGATTTAATGTATTTTGGAATGTAGTAGTGTCTTTTTAAGGCCTTAAAAAAATATTCTAGTAGTAACCTGAAAATTGTTAAATGCAAAATACTTATAGTTGCTAACATTAGTTAACTTTTTAACATTAATATGAATTTATTTTAATTAACTAAAACTGGTTATCTTTATAATTTTTAAAATACTAAAAAAATAAGACAATCATCAATTGTTTTATATTAAAAATATATTACTTTAAAAGAACTAATAAGAATGATTATATGCATTATTTTTAATATATTATACATTATTATAATTTTAATAGTAGTATGAAAATTTAAATATATACAAGTTATACAACTGATTTATAAATATTTTTGAACATTTTTCTAAAAGGTAAAAAATAATTATTATAGTTAATATGAAATCATATTTTAAAAAACTTTTATAAAATTAAGAATATTTCACTGAAGAAATTGTAAGACAATTCATTTATCAAAAATAGGTTAAAAAGAAAGTTTAAATGATTATATACATCTACTTAAGCTCGTCCTTTGACAAAATAAATATAATCGATTATTTACCTTTTGCAAAGAAAACGAAAGTAATATCGAAAAACATAAACTTCTTAATAAAAGCTTCATATTTCTTCACTTATACTTTCAAGTTGGATGATATCCACACCCAGCAACAGAATATTTAAGCAGACAAGTTTTGGGTGTTTCCGGTTCACCCACGTGATGTGCATCGTCATGAAGACAAGATTTGGTCACGAAGGCTGTCACCATCGTTTTAACACGTGGTTTCTATCACATGTCGAGTATGGTATATCTGTTACAATAAAGTTGCGATTACGCAGCCTCATATACTGTATATGTAATTTAGTTTCTTTTCTTTTTAATATAAATGATGGCAGCCGTTGAACTATTACGCCTTTCGTTCTCGCAATTGAGCCAGATGAAACGGATTTTCGTTTCTGTAACACAAGAACGTGCATCAACACACGCTTCCTTTTATAAATTGCTGCGACATCATGCGGAAGAATTTCGAGTTAAATTGATTCAATATTTAGAAATTTTTTCGGAATTCCTAACTTTAAATGAATTCTTATATTTCTTTCATTATTAATTAAAACAAAAAAATAGGTATTGTAATTAATCACAAATAAATTGACATTAATTATGCTATTCCTTTTTATTGAAATAAATTAATAAATATTTTATTCAAAAACTCGTTTGTCGCGCGATTCCTGTAGTTTGTAGTTTGAAAATTAGACCTGCAGTTTGAAAAACCTTGCTCTATATACAGAATACAATTTACAGTTGTGAAGGTCATTATAGTCAAAACACCAAATGCGAATGGATGAATTAAGTGTGATTAAGATTGGCTAGACATTAAGCAAATATACGTATTTTTCAATACCGAATCTATAGAGCATGGGTTTGGGATGCGAAAAAACGTATTGAAATTTAAGTAAAAATGACTATAAACAGAAATAATTATTCCTCTTAAATTAATCAAGCACACTCAGACTTAGCAATATTTTATTCTGATACATCGTATGTAAAACATTATAATATTGCACATGGGATGCATCAGAACGTTGTAACGTCTGTGAAAGTCTCATGTTAAAACTTTTTTTTAATTTCAAGGTTACTTCTATATTAGGCAAATGCGTCGCTGATTGTTTAGATTAGTAAAACTCAATCAATCATCAATAAACTTGAATGCCAAAATTAAAGTGTACCGAATTTCAGTGAAGATAATCCAAATTTAAAAGGGAATTTATCTATACTTTCCGATTTTGTGCTTTCGGTTTATCACATTTTATTCCTTTACGCACTTGAATTTGATATTAATTTTATTTTCTTTGCAAAAGGTAAATAATAGATTACATTAATCAATGGAAGAGTTTGAGTAAATATATGTAATCATAAACTTTATATGATATATTTACGATAAATTTATTGTCTTGTAATTTTTTCGGTGAAATATTCCTAACTAATTTTATAAGTTTTAAAATATGATTTCATATTCCTAAATTACTTGTAATAATTTTTTCTATTTAAAAAAATAATTAAAATATCTATAATTTAGTTTATTTGCATAACTACAAGGGTTCTTAACCTTTCTTATTCCATAGATACCTTTTCCAGTCAGGTGAAGGTCACGGACTCCTTCTCGGAATAATGTTTTTAAATGTATAAAATTACGAAATAAACCAGTTATATAGAAATATATTTATTAAAAATACAAAACGTATATCATGTATTTCTATTTTTAATATATGTGCTTCTTTCTTAATACAATAATTAACAATTTCATGCAAAAACGCAAAATTTTAAAGTATTAATGAGCGTAAACGATTTTTCCAGATGTGCAACAACTATCATGTGGTATGAAAATATCTGTTGCTTTTATTGTTGAAATAGATCTGGCTAATACTACTGTAATTAATAGAATAATAGCATAATTTTAATAGTAAAGTGATGTTTGATTAGAGTAGAGAATGGTGAAAAGTAAGATAATGAGTTGATTTTTATTCTTTCAAGCCCACGGACTGATCCTTGAAAACTTTCTATGGATCCCTGGTTGAGCCACTTTTCTATTAGAATTCATTTCGAGCAGTTTTAAATACAGTAATGTAAATAGACAGATTAATTAAATAAAATCAGTGGTGTTTTGCTTTTAAAAAGTGTACCGGAACACTTGCAATGACGAGCAAGAAAAAAAAAGTCGCAAAAGGTCCGATTTTCTAGTCACCCTACTTATAATGCACCTTTATCGCATCTTCAATTTTCACTGTAAGATTCTCTCAATATACAGTATAACCTAAGTGACGGCCGGTTGGTCGATCGGTCAAGGGGTGCGTTCTTTTATTCCTCCGCGTAATTCAGCACGAGCGACATGGGCGAGTGGTCTCCGTTGCCGCTCATCGTAGTNTGAATGAAAGAACTTTTCTCCACGTGCAAAGAGCCTTCTCATAACATCAATTCCAAGACAGATACCATATACTCGTCTATGATAATAGATTGGATGAATCTAACTGACCACCTTGAAATTGAGCATAGCATCAACAGTTGCCTAACAATCTACATCTAAAATACTGGTACCTTCCCGTTCTGATCCTTATTCTTTTCATTCTTCTCTTCTCAATCTTAGTTTGTAATTAGTTATAGTTTAGTTTTTAGTACATCCACATTTACCATTTTGTCAGAAGAAACTGAATAATGAGTGAAGAGTGGCTGTAACTACATTTTGTACTTTCCAACAAGCAGGAATCTGTAATCTGCCCCCCTCAAAATTTGTATAATAAATGCATATTGACTTTTTTTTTGGTCTAGTCTCCTTGTTGTGCATATCATACCTTTCGCACATACACAATGATTTTCCATAACAAAGGTCAATAAATGCAATAAATGCACAAGAACACTAATTTTATCATCTTACAAGTTTCTATACATTCAAATAATGTTAAAATAAAATTTCTACCAAGTGTCCTTTGCCTAAATTTATTTGTATCATCTTCAGTGAGTGGGGCCAATTTGATGTGGGACACCCTGTATAATTTGATAGACTACAAGTATTTGATTCTGATTCTGGACAGTTAACCATGCAGAAGTTGTACTAGTAGAAATAAATAAGTCATTTGCACTTTTTAATAAAAATATTTTAATTTTTTTTTACAATTACTGCTCAGCATTAATGAAATGATTATCTCTTTATGAATTATAAGAATTTAATACTTTTGACAACATTTTTCATAAACTGCTTGTTTCAGAAAGCAACATTTATCAAACACAAAAAGACCATCTTCAGCTTAAAATCTTGCATTTATCACCTTAGAATAATATGGCATGGGGTGTATTCTATGCTACATTGTTGTATATATATATTCTAAACTTTTAAATTGTAGGCTGAAGACAATCATATATTGACCAAAAATATTTCTTTTGTTTAATAAATGTTGGCTTACTAAAGCAAGCAATGGCTTCTTTATTTACAAAGATGGTACAAAGTTTTGTAACTTCTTATGATAACATTTTTTTATAATTATTACAAAACTCTCAAAATTATTTGAATTTAATGTATAAAAAAATATATACACACTAATTTTATGTTATTTTATAAATGCTGTGATTCTGCAATCTAAATACATAAAATTACTTGCCCTGACTGACTGACTCATCATCACCCAGAGCAAACCGCTGAACCCAAAGATGCGAAATTTTATACACAGTTAGGGTACGTCATGAAAACGCGCACTAAGAAGGAATTTTTTGAAATTCCCCCATGGGGGAGAGGGAAAGGATTAAGGCTTAACCTGAAGAATGGCTTCTACTGTATTATTTTACATGCAATTTTTTGTTTTTAACTATGTTTAGTCTTCATTGAGTACTTAGGTATATTATATTGATAACATTTCAGACACTGTTATAAATATTTTTATACATTTCGATTTTTTAACCAAATGTTCGAACGGTTTTAAATTTGAATTTGTTATTGCATATTGGTTTGATTATAGAATGATTGTAAACGTTCCAGAAAATTGATAAAATTGAAAATAGTTTGTTTGATTCTCAGCAATTTTCATCATTCTCAGCAGTAGGTGTTATATAACAATTACTATGGTTGTTGAAATACTGAATATAAATGAGGTTTGCTTGCAAAACCCCCACGGGCAAAGTCGCAGGTAACAGCTAGTTATATATAAAAACATTATGAAGTTTTTAATTTTATACTTTTATGTAGGTATCAGTGGCAGCTTGTAAGCCTTGTGGAACTGCAATACTACCAAAAAAAAGTAAAATTACAAAATGTGTATATTTTTATTGCATAGTAATTATATAAATTAGCATATATAATTAAAATTAATTTTATCATCAAAACCAGCACTGATAGTATACAAAATAAAATGATTCTATTCTAGGCTCATTTTATTACAAGCTACACACTCCTCTGACATCACTATTAAACAGTGCAGTACCATTTCCCATTCAGAAAAAGTTCCATTTGTTTGACCCCCACATCTTGCAATATGCTCATGATGAAATGCTTGAGATTGCAACAGCACTGTTAAATAGAGCAATGCTAACAGTGTGGCCAGATGGCAGAAATTTATTTATCATCAGGCCTGTGGAATCGTGTAAAAATCTACCGACTCCAACTTTTCCTGATCATCCGACTCCGACTAAAACACCAAAACCCCAAGACTCCAACTCAACAGCCCTGCCAGGGCTGTGGAGTTGCGTAAAAATCTACCGACTCCAACTCCGACTTTTCCTTATCATCCGACTCCGGCTAAAACACCAAAACTCCACAACTCCGACTCCACAGCCCTGTTTATCATATACACCTAAAAGATCTAGATATAGTCAAATATAGAAATTGTTTATACTTCTATACAGGATATTAACACCCACAATGGAATACTTACTCAAATTCCTGTGTTGAATAGATATGATAGATAGTCCCTGAAAATCAGGGGCACCTGGTCACCTTGTTTCCACATTTGCTTGTTTTCAATGTTTGATTATAGACTCAATATTTAAATAAAACAATTTTATTAATACTGTATATTAATATGTCATCATCAATTTATAGATGAATGAGTAAATAAATTTTAATAAATAGCTAAAGTTCAATCAGTTTTAGACCCATTTTCACTGATTCTTAAATATGTCCTGGTTTGAATAGTAAAATGCCTATTTTAAGAACAGGAGTCAGTAACCTCTATATGTTGGCAGCATATTCAAGTTGTAACTTTAAACTGCAGATTGTATAGAAAAAAAAATGACAAATTGTACTTAACTGTTTATTGTTCAATAGTATGCAAATAGAAATTTTTTTTTAAATTTAATTTTCAATAATCAGGTGAAAAAATTCAATTTTAAAAATAGACAGGATGAGGATTAATTATTTTATCACTTTATAAAATGCAAACCAAATTTCCATTAATAAGTTAAATATAGATCATAATAATATAGGC